CCCCAAAACCCCAAAACCCCAAAACCCCAAAACCCCATTAGCCTATAAAAGTATTGAATCATTAATTTTATAAGTTTTTTTAGAAGGAAGAATGATCAACCAATGGATGAAGGTAAATCTGCGGTCGGATACTACCAAGCAGATAGACAAGTATCTGACCATAGAGCAACCGGAGAGCCTCAAAACTGTCAATGAGGGAGAAGGAGCTGATAAGTTTGACTATGCTCTTTTTAACAAGTCATGAGGAAATTTTGAGTACGAGGACTGGATTGTTAATGTCTTGTAAGTCAAAACATTGTGGAGACGGTTCTAAATTTTTATATAGTACCAATCCTGATGGATCTGGAAGCCAGATAGGCGAATTTACTGAAGTAGACCTTCTACAAACCTTGTCAAGGCTTGATAAGACTAAGAGAGAAGCAGAAAAAATAATGAAGAAAAGGAGGGCAAAAAGAATGGAGAAAATTGAAGAAATTAACAGAAGAATGGGCCATATGAACTTGGAAGAGGCCGAACCATTTAATCCTTATGAGAAGGAACTTAATTCTGGATCGAGGAGAAGAAGTCGAGGATTAACATACATGGAAAATATTGAGCTCCAAAAGTATCAAAAAAGAATAGGAATAAAACTTAAACCTAAGCCTCAGGCTAAGCCAAAAATGCGACCAAAACCTAGCGACTACCCATCTGCAAATCTTGGGAAGCCTATAGGAAAGCCTACTAACAAGCCTGTTATCCCTCTTCCTGGACAAAAGGGCCCATTGCACTCAACTGTTGCTCCCCAGGTACCTCAAGGGATGCACAACATGAATCCACCAGCTGCTGCTTCTGGTCACTTAGGTTACTCTCACCAGCCTAAACCTCCTCACACATACCCCCATTACACTACCCCATCATATCCTCACCCAAGAGGGCCTCCTCCTACTATTGCTCAGCCAAAGGTGACTCCTACGGACCCACCAGCCAAGAAGAAGAAAGGCCTAGCTCGGTGGTTCGGGCTTTAATATTTGTTATAAATCTTAATTTGTGCTAAATTGGTACATAAAACCCATAAATTTTAAGGAAAAACCTTCAGGAATAGCATAGGCATCTTCTTGATAAAATTTTGAAAAATTAGATGAAATTTAGAATTTAGAGTAAGCTTCACGACACATAAACGTAATTTTGAATGTTTTTAATAATTTTTATTAAAATGTGAGATGAATTTTTTTCAATTTGAGAGAAGAAGTGGGGTTTTGGGGTTTTGGGGTTTTGGGGTTTTGGGG